GAGCACGACGGCGCAACTGGACCAGACACAGGAACCTGACCAGACACAGCTACCTGGGGGGACGCAGCAACCTGGTGAGACGCAGGGACCAGACTGGGGGAAGTAACCGGGGCCGGGGGCAGGAGTCGCTGCTGCTGCTGCTGCTGCCGCCGCTACTGCTGCTGCTGCTGCTGCTGCTGCTGCTGCTGCTGCTGCCCACCAGGGCCGGTGTGAAGTGTGTAGAGACCAGAGCCCGGCTCGGCAGTAAAGGTGGCAAGAGGCGAGTAAGTGTCGCCGTCAACACAAACCGCCGTCTCACCAGAGGGCTCAATCCACACACCCACGTGCTGACTCACAAGAGGCCTCACGCCCACCAAGTTCCTCGAGAACGAGGGGACGTGGAAGCCAGTCAGAGACCCAGAGGGAACAGCAGGGCAAGGAAGAGTAGTAGTGTAGCGAGCAGTGACTGGTCCCGAGGTGGGATCAGCCAGGACCACAGAGACTGGAGCAGGAAGTGGAGTAAGTGTCGTGTGGTCGCGGAAGAAGCAGTGCGAAGCCCCAGAGTCCAGAGTGAAAGACAGCGAAGCGTCCTCCGAAGTAGTGGCTGGACTAGTGTCTACACAAGTGCCTACACTAGCAACAGGCAACTCAGCAAGACTAGCACCTAAGCTAACAACACGCGAGTAAACAGAGTCAGAAGCACTAGAGTCAACAACATCATACATAGCATGAGGAGTTCCTAAGAGATCAAGCAACTGAGAAGCAGACATGCCCCAAAGAGCGGAGCCGTACGTCTGAACAAGAGGGAACCAGTCAGGGGCAGGGCCGCCAACGCCGAAGGCCAAGCGAACCGTGTCAGTGAGTTGAGCAAAGCACTGACCAGGAGGGTGGGTGCGGCCACAAGGCTGGCCTCGGCGAGCACCTGTCAGAACCTGATAGGTGCACGAAGGGTGAACAACACCTCGCTGAGGCTGACGCTGTCCTGACCCCGAAACCTGCTGCTGCCGCTGCTGCTGCAGGGGCTGCTGCAAGGGGAGGGGCTGCTGCTGCTGCTGCTGCTGCCGCTGGGCCAGGTACCACGCCGCTGCTCCACCCGCTGCAGCCGGCAGACCAGAAGGTGGCTGACGAGCCCGGGCGTCACCTCCACCAGCCGCAGTAGCGGAGTCACCGGCCGCTGCACGCGACGCCTCTCCTGGGTCTGCACTCCCGCCGCCACCAGTCGGCACGCCACTCCCACCACCTCCGCCGCCAACGCCTCCACCTCCGCCGCCACCTGTACCCTGACCGCCCCTCTTGCCACCTCTACCTCGAGACCGCGAAGAAGTCGTAACAGCAGCTGCGGTCACGTCAGTAGCAGCAGTGGCGAGAGAGGCTGTAAAGGTGGGCAGCTGAGGGACAGTGCACCCGTGGAACAGTGGAGGGGGCACAGCACCAGAGGCGGAGGCTACGGAGCGGAGGTTGCTCTCGACGTCCTTGAGCGCAGAATCAAGGACCTCGATAGTGAGCTCACTAGGGTGCTTCAGAAGAAGCGTGTCACGGACTGGGGCAAGGCGGTCAGGGAGGCTAGTGGCGATGAAATAGATAGTAATCACCATGGGGGGAGGGAGCACTGCAAGCTGTGCCTCAGTGCAAGCAGCGCGGTAGCTAGAATCAAGCGAGCGGAGGTGAGCAATCAAGTCAGCAGAGCGCTCAAACGAGGCGAGGTCAGGGAACAGGAACGGTAGGAAGAGTCGACCAAGAGAGACAGTGGTGGGAGTAGCGTAGCGGGCCTTAATCGCAGTCAGGAACTCACTAGCAGTGCGAACCTGAGTGAAGTGGGCCTCCTCAGACTCAGGGAGGAGGCTGCTAAGAGTGATGCAGGCCGCAGCGTCACGCGACTTCCACGCCGTCAGGTCAGCACGCTGGCGGGTGAAGCGGTCCCTGGCTGCGTCGTCAGGGGCAGTGCCTAAAGGCGTAGGGTCGTCGGGCGCTGGAAGGTCACCAGTAGCGTGCGCCCAAAGGGACTCGCCTGCCTGAACCTGACTCTCTAAGAGGCGACGCGCGCGTAGGAGCTAGACCGGAAACTCGAGCGGTCTACCGTCAGCGTCGAAGCGAAGAACCCTAGGAGTCGCCATCGTGTAAGTAGAAGCGACAAGTCGAGCGGTGGGTGGCACCGGTAGGGACGGTAGGCGGCTAGGGCAAGTCCGTGATGGGCGCAAAACGCGGGCGCAACGAGGCTAGGGGCGGTCCCGCGGCGGACTGAACGAGTAGGTGCAGCGGTGCGAAGGAAGGGCCTAACGAGCTGGCTGTAAGGGAGGGCCAGTGGCGGGCCTTAACAGTAGGCGCGGCGGCTGTAAGGGAGGGCCCGCGGTGGCTGAAAGGGAGGGCCCGCGGCGGGCCTAACTAGCAGGCGCGGCGGCTGTAAGGGAGGGCCCGCGGCGGCTGAAAGGGAGTGCCCGCGGCGGGCCTAACTACCAGGCGCAGCGGCTGTAAGGGAGGGCCCGCGGCTGCTGTAAGGGAGGGCCCGCGGCGGGCCTAACTAGTAGGCGCGGCGACGGGCGGTACGGGTAGGCGCGGTGACGAAAAACGGAGCGCCGCGGCGACGAAAAACGGGGCGCCGCGGTGACGAAACGCAGGGCGCCGCGGCGTCGAAACGCGGGGCGCCGCGAACCCTAAACGCGGGGCGCTGCGGCGACGAAACGCGGGGCCCCGCGGCTACGAAACGCGGGGCCCCGCGGCTACGAAATGCGGGCGCCGCGGTGACGAAACGGGGGGCGCCGCGGCGACGAAACGGGGGGCGCCGCGGCGACGAAACGCGGGCGCCGCGGCGACGAAACGCGGGCGTTTAGGGCAGCGGGGGGAGGACGCGACGCGACGAGCAGCGGGGGAGGGCAGGACGGGACGAAAAGCCGGGGAGAGCACGACAAGACGGGCAGGGGGGGGAAGGCGCTACGCTACGCGGAAAGCGGGTCGGCGGAGCGAGCGCTAACGAACGAGCGAGACTGGATCGGTCCGGCGCTAACGAACGAGCGAGACTGGATCGGGCCGGCGCTAACGAACGAGCGAGACTAGATCGGGCCGGCACTAGGCTCGGGCAAGACGGGTATGACTAGTACGAGAGAGCGAGACAGGCTCGGGCGGAACGAACGAGGACGAGAGGTGCGGGATCCCACAGGATCCTAACCTAGGTGATACCATGTCAAGAACGAAAGAGTTGGTTCATTGATGTGGGTTGGGGTACATATAACAAACCCTAACATCTGTACCCCCTAAGACAAACCTCACTAAGGCTACAACATTTGACACCTCCTCCACTGGTGCTCCGCACGTACGCCATTGCATTTTATCTGTACGGGGTGAGTGTACTGGCTTTTACGTTTCAAGAGTTATTTAATAGTTCCTGCTGTTCCACTAACATAGCTGCGGTTGCAAAAGCAGGTGGAGTACCCGTTAATAAACGGCAATCAGTGTCAAGCTATATGTGTTGTAGCTTCTATTGTTAGTGTAGGTGTACCTTCTACTTGTTGGGGTTAGGGTTAGGTTTCTTATATACTTGTAATATTTCCACTTTTAGTCATTTCTTATTTCTCAACATGGTATAGAGCTAGGGTTTCCCCTAGCGTTTTAAGTCTCGATAGTTGGGCCCACCGAAATCGCTACTAGAGCGCGCCCGTCCTAACGCGCGCCCCTTAGCTCGTCGCCCGTCGCCCGTAGCGCGCCCGTCGTCCGCAGCTCTCCCGTTGCCCGTCGCTTTTCCGTCGGCCGTCGATTTTCCCCTCCCGTCGCCCGTCGATTGTCGATTTCTCCCCTCCCGTCGCCCGTCGCCCGTCGCCCGTCGCCCGTCTCCCGTCGACCGTAGGAACAGGCCCCGCGGCCCCTTTTTTTTTCGCTAGCGGGCCCCGCGGCCCTTTCGATAGCGGGCCCCGTGGTCCCGTCGTCAGTCGCACGCACGCACAGCAGCAGCCGCGCGCACGTGGCGCCACCGCTGCCTTACCCGCCGCCCCATCTCTTAGCCGCCGCCCTACCTGTCACCCGCCCCCCCACGAGTTGAAACCCGCCGCCCCACCTGACACCCGCTGCCCCACGAGCTGCCTCACCCGCCGCCCCACCAGTTAGCCTCAGCCCCACCAACTAGCCACACCTGGAAACCATAGTATACCACCCGTACCCGCTGAGCCGCACAGAACCGCACAGAACCGCACAGAATCGCACACAACCGCACAGAACCGCACAGAACGGCACAGAACGGCACAGAATCGCACTCCACCCATGCTAGCTCCCCTGGAACTGCACAGAACCGCATTTCACCCGTGCTAACCCCCCCTGGAATCGCACAGAACCACACTCCACCGCCCTAGACCGTTCCTCAACCGCATCCGACCGCACTGAACCCCTCCCACAAGCACCAGAACCGCACTCAGCCGCATTCCACCGCACCAGGCCTATATACTGATACTGGAACAACGACGTGTCACAGTTGGCAATCTTTTACATTCAATGATATACAGTGCGTTATTCCTTCTTCATTCCGTTCGCTAAAAGCCAGTCAACTCGACCAGGCCCTGGATTTCATCAGGAATCTTTCTGCACCGTCTCAGAAGCATATCAAGTAAATACAATGAAGAGCCACTGCGGGGCACATGCCGAAGCTTCCGGTTCCAGTGCTCCGGGAGCAGCTAAACGATCGACTTTAGCTCCAGCAGCGGCGGCGACAGCGGAACCACTCTCAACCGTAGCGCGAACCCGCCGATCCACCGGGGCTCCCATCCTGCTGACGTGTTTTTCCGCGCTAGTACTCATCGCCTTAGCGGTAACCGGATGGGTGGCGCCTCCGGGAACCCTCAGCGCACTCGCTTGGGGAAGCGGGGGGGGGAAAGGGGGAATTAGTGGCAGGGGAGGAAAATGGGGATCGGAGGGAAAGGAAGGGGTGGCGGAACGAAGAGGGCGAGGGGGAGGGGTATGGGAAATTGGAAGGGGAGAGGGAGCCTATGGAGAGGGAATGCGGCATGACGTACATGTGGCCTGATTACGTCCCCATTCCCATGCAAAACCGGACTCTGGAGAAACAAGGACTTGACGCAAGTGAGTACAGCCCCTCCCAACCCAACACTTCCCAACCCCTCTGTACAGCTCGTTCTTGTACCGAGAAGAAGGCCACACGTGGGGAGACAGCAGCAAGGGGGAAATGAAGAGAGGTTTCTGCCATACCGCCCCTGTGTTTCCTCATCTGCACTGAGCCTCCTTTACCATGCCCCCTCTTTACACTTGCCAGCTTCAGTGTACAGTTTGTTCTTATACCGAGAGGGCCGCGCCTGGGGAGGCAGCAGCAGTGAGGAGGAGGAGGAGAAGAGCCTGTGTGGAGCGGTTCCTGTGCTCTTTATCCCCGGGAATGCGGGCTGCTACAAGCAGGTGATATCTAGCAACAGGTGATGTGATGCTGGTCGTCACAGTCAAGTGTGTTGCGTGGATAACACGCCAATCTAGGGCAAGCAGTTAAGAGGAGGTGAAGAGGGGTCCCTTTGGGGCTGTGCCTGTGCTCTCCATGTTTGAAAATTGTCGGTTGCTACAAGCAGATAACGCCTATAACCGACTCTGTAGTCTGATACCAATGCTCTTTCGTCTTGCTAAAGATCTGCGTGATTTTGTTTGTGTCACTTCGGGCAGTTCTCAAAGGTGACGCGAACATAACCAATGCCAGTGCTCTTCGTCTTGTTCAGTCGCTTTCACCAACCAACTTTGTAATGCGGAGGCCAAGGCTCAGAATCTGCGTGATTCTGTTTGTGTCACTTCTGACAGTTGTCAAAAGTGACACAAACATGACCAAATCTGTAGTTCTGTCTGTCACTAAGTTTTTTTGCGCTCCCCCCACTTTACCTGTCCCCTCTTCTTCCCATCATTCATTCAGGTGCGTTCCCTCGCATCTGTCTCCCACCACATCTACCACGCCTCTCATGCTCAACACGAATCAAGGAACAGCCCTCCCTGCTTCGCCTGTGGAGACGACCCACACACAGAGCCTCTCACACCAGTGAAACCAGCAGCAGACTCAGACGGAAAGAAAGAGTCAGGGGAAGCGAGGGGAGAAGGTGCAGCAGGAACGGGGAAGGGGGGGCGGGGGTCAGCAGCGTACCCATGTCGCCTGGTGTGGTTCTCCGTGGATCTGAGGGAGCACCTCTCTGCTCTTCACACCGCTCTGCTGCACAAACAGGCGGCCTTCGTTGCTGCTGCTGTCACTCAGGTGGGTCTTGAAGAGTGTTTGTGTGTGTGTGCGTGTGTGTGTGTTACCTGTATGTATGTGCTTGTGCAGATGTTAGCTCTGCACTATCTCCAGCTTATTCCCCTCTCTTTGCAATTTCAGTCTCTTCTCTTCCCACTTCCCTGTGCTGCTATCGTGGGGCACTTAATGAGGATTTTGTTCATCCTGGGCCCTCTATGTGAGTTGTTCTGTCTCGCCTACCCGTCCCCCCTCTCCCCTATAAGCCCTCTCAGGTCGTGGCCCTCTACAGTTCCTCCTGTGCTTCCACGCCGGCCCGCTCGTCCTCTGTGACTCCTCTCTCCTCTCCCCATCCCCCTCTCTCGTCCCCTCCCCTCCCCCCACTTTCTCAGATCCTCTCCCTCTACAGTTTCTCCTGTGCCTCCACGCCTACACTCCCGCCCCCTGTGCTGCTAGTGGGGCATTCAATGGCGGGGATAGTCGCGCTGGCCCACAGGAGACTCACAGGGGGGGGAGATGTGAACGAGGGAGGGGACGGGAAGGACACGTGGAGAGGGAGGGATAGGACACGCAGACAACTCATCTTGTGCCTTGCTCTCTCTTCTCCTCCCCCTCCCCCTCCTCCCCCCATCTCTCTCCCCTTCCCTCCACCCCCTCAGATCCTCTCCCGCTACTGTTCTTCCTGTTTCCACGCCCGCCCGCCCGTCCTCTGCTGCTAATGGGGCACTCCATAGGGGGGATAGTCGCCGCCTGGCCCACAGGAGACTGACAGGGGGAGGAGACGCGAGAGAGGAATTTGGGCTGCCTTAGAAACCACAACAACCCGGCCGGCCACCCTTTGTCTGGGCTGCGGGTGGGGCATTCAATGGGTGATTCTTCCCATCCCCTCCCCCACTACTCCCCTCTAACCCCTCAGATCCTCTCCCTCTACAGTGCGTCCTGTGCTTCCACGCCCGCCCACCCGCCGTCTGTGCTGCTAGTGGGGCACTCCATGGGGGGGATAGTGGCCCGTCTGGCCCACAGGAGACTGCGAGGGGGAGGAGGTGTGAGAGAGGGACGGAATAGGGAGATGGAAGAAGAGGTGAAGGGGTGTGCGTGGAAGGACGAGGCACAAGAAGGAGGAGGAGGAATACAGGAGCTGGAGAGCGGGCGTTGTAGCATTGTCCATCAGGAAGGGAGCGGACATGATTCAGTGCACACTATTGTCACCATCGCCACACCACACAGGCAGGTCTCTTAGGAGAACTTTTCAGACCTTAGGCAGGTCTCTCAAAATTCACCGCACAGGCAGGTCTCTTAGGAGAAACGCTGCCTACCTGTCGTAGTAACCTTGAAAGAATGTGTCTTACTTGCACCCTTGCTTTGCGTCTGAAAAGGCGCCAATCCCCTCCCCTCTGCTTTCATCCATTGACCCCCCATGCTCCCCCACGCCCCCCCCCCCCCCCCCCCCCCCCCCCTCCCTCCCCATTCTCCCTCCCTGCAACCATCCATGCTCGCCCTCACCGCTCCGTGTAGAAAGTGAAAGTTTGAGACGTCTGCTCCAAGTGAACTCACTTTCTACACGTGGCCTCCCCATTCTCCCTCCCTGCAACCATCCATGCCCGCCCTCACTCCTCCCTCAGCCACCCACCACTCTTCCATGCAAATTCTGGAAATTCTCACCTCCCTCCCTTTTTCCCATTGTCCTCATTGTTTTCATCTCCCCATTCCATCCTCCCTCCCCCTCCCGTTTCCCCTCTTCCCTCCATCTTCCCCCCCCGTTTTCCCCATTTTCCCCGTTTCCCCCAGCCTCTTCCCCCTCCCCCTCCAGCCGTCAATGCATGCCCTCTATCACTCCCTCATCCAGCACACCCCCAACTCTCCCTCCTCTGCTCTGCTCCTCGCCTCTCTTGCTGCCGGCCGGAGTGACTGGCAGGTGAGATTCGCCTCGTGCCACGTGTCAGCTTACCACTGGTTGCCCTGCCATCCCACACGCACACCAATCCCACCCTTCCCAGCGCTCTCCCTCCTCCTCTCTGCTCCTCGCATCGTTTCCTGCTGGCTGGTGAGATTGGCTGGTGAGATTGGCAGGTGAGATTGACAGGTGAGATTGGCAGGTGAGATTGGCTGGTGAGATTGGCAGGTGAGATTGGCAGGTGAGATTGGCAGGTGAGATTGGCAGGTGAGATTGGCAGGTGAGATTGGCAGGTGAGATTGGCAGGTGAGATTGGCAGGTGAGATTGGCAGGTGAGATTGGCAGGTGAGATTGGCAGGTGAGATTGACAGGTGAGATTGGCAGGTGAGATTGACAGGTGAGATTGGCTGGTGAGATTGGCTGGTGAGATTGGCAGGTGAGATTGGCAGGTGAGATTGGCAGGTGAGATTGGCAGGTGAGATTGGCAGGTGAGATTGGCAGGTGAGATTGGCAGGTGAGATTGGCAGGTGAGATTGGCAGGTGAGATTGGCAGGTGAGATTGGCAGGTGAGATTGGCAGGTGAGATTGGCAGGTGAGATTGGCAGGTGAGATTGGCAGGTGAGATTGGCAGGTGAGATTGGCAGGTGAGATTGGCAGGTGAGATTGGCAGGTGAGATTGGCAGGTGAGATTGGCAGGTGAGATTGGCAGGTGAGATTGGCAGGTGAGATTGGCAGGTGAGATTGGCAGGTGAGATTGGCAGGTGAGATTGGCAGGTGAGATTGGCAGGTGAGATTGGCAGGTGAGATTGGCAGGTGAGATTGGCAGGTGAGATTGGCAGGTGAGATTGGCTGGTGAGATTGGCAGGTGAGATTGGCTGGTGAGATTGGCAGGTGAGATTGGCAGGTGAGATTGGCAGGTGAGATTGGCAGGTGAGATTGGCAGGTGAGATTGGCAGGTGAGATTGGCAGGTGAGATTGGCAGGTGAGATTGGCAGGTGAGATTGGCAGGTGAGATTGGCAGGTGAGATTGGCAGGTGAGATTGGCAGGTGAGATTGGCTGGTGAGATTGACAGGTGAGATTGGCAGGTGAGATTGGCAGGTGAGATTGGCAGGTGAGATTGGCAGGTGAGATTGGCAGGTGAGATTGGCAGGTGAGATTGGCAGGTGAGATTGGCAGGTGAGATTGGCAGGTGAGATTGGCTGGTGAGATTGGCAGGTGAGATTGGCAGGTGAGATTGGCAGGTGAGATTGGCAGGTGAGATTGGCAGGTGAGATTGGCAGGTGAGATTGGCAGGTGAGATTGGCTGGTGAGATTGGCAGGTGAGATTGGCTGGTGAGATTGGCAGGTGAGATTGGCAGGTGAGATTGGCAGGTGAGATTGACAGGTGAGATTGGCAGGTGAGATTGACAGGTGAGATTGGCTGGTGAGATTGGCTGGTGAGATTGGCAGGTGAGATTGGCAGGTGAGATTGGCAGGTGAGATTGGCTTGGCACCAGATATCACGATTTTTTAGGCACCTAAAACATGCTCCTCGCATCACTTGCTGCTGGCTGCAGTGACTGGCAGGTGAGATTGGCAGGTGAGATTGGCAGGTGAGATTGGCAGGTGAGATTGGCAGGTGAGATTGGCAGGTGAGATTGGCAGGTGAGATTGGCAGGTGAGATTGGCAGGTGAGATTGGCTGGTGAGATTGGCAGGTGAGATTGGCAGGTGAGATTGGCAGGTGAGATTGGCTGGTGAGATTGGCAGGTGAGATTGGCAGGTGAGATTGGCAGGTGAGATTGGCAGGTGAGATTGGCAGGTGAGATTGGCAGGTGAGATTGGCTGGTGAGATTGGCAGGTGAGATTGGCAGGTGAGATTGGCAGGTGAGATTGGCAGGTGAGATTGGCAGGTGAGATTGGCAGGTGAGATTGGCAGGTGAGATTGGCAGGTGAGATTGGCAGGTGAGATTGGCAGGTGAGATTGGCAGGTGAGATTGGCAGGTGAGATTGGCAGGTGAGATTGGCAGGTGAGATTGGCAGGTGAGATTGGCAGGTGAGATTGGCAGGTGAGATTGGCAGGTGAGATTGGCAGGTGAGATTGGCAGGTGAGATTGGCAGGTGAGATTGGCAGGTGAGATTGGCAGGTGAGATTGGCAGGTGAGATTGGCAGGTGAGATTGGCAGGTGAGATTGGCAGGTGAGATTGGCAGGTGAGATTGGCAGGTGAGATTGGCAGGTGAGATTGGCAGGTGAGATTGGCAGGTGAGATTGGCAGGTGAGATTGGCAGGTGAGATTGGCAGGTGAGATTGGCTGGTGAGATTGGCAGGTGAGATTGGCAGGTGAGATTGGCAGGTGAGATTGGCAGGTGAGATTGGCAGGTGAGATTGGCAGGTGAGATTGGCAGGTGAGATTGGCAGGTGAGATTGGCAGGTGAGATTGGCAGGTGAGATTGGCAGGTGAGATTGGCAGGTGAGATTGGCAGGTGAGATTGGCTGGTGAGATTGACAGGTGAGATTGGCAGGTGAGATTGGCAGGTGAGATTGGCAGGTGAGATTGGCAGGTGAGATTGGCAGGTGAGATTGGCAGGTGAGATTGGCAGGTGAGATTGGCAGGTGAGATTGGCAGGTGAGATTGGCTGGTGAGATTGGCAGGTGAGATTGGCAGGTGAGATTGGCAGGTGAGATTGGCAGGTGAGATTGGCAGGTGAGATTGGCAGGTGAGATTGGCAGGTGAGATTGGCTGGTGAGATTGGCAGGTGAGATTGGCTGGTGAGATTGGCAGGTGAGATTGGCAGGTGAGATTGGCAGGTGAGATTGACAGGTGAGATTGGCAGGTGAGATTGACAGGTGAGATTGGCTGGTGAGATTGGCTGGTGAGATTGGCAGGTGAGATTGGCAGGTGAGATTGGCAGGTGAGATTGGCTTGGCACCAGATATCACGATTTTTTAGGCACCTAAAACATGCTCCTCGCATCACTTGCTGCTGGCTGCAGTGACTGGCAGGTGAGATTGGCAGGTGAGATTGGCAGGTGAGATTGGCAGGTGAGATTGGCAGGTGAGATTGACAGGTGAGATTGGCTGGTGAGATTGGCTGGTGAGATTGGCAGGTGAGATTGGCTGGTGAGATTGGCTGGTGAGATTGGCAGGTGAGATTGGCAGGTGAGATTGGCAGGTGAGATTGGCAGGTGAGATTGGCAGGTGAGATTGGCAGGTGAGATTGGCAGGTGAGATTGGCAGGTGAGATTGGCAGGTGAGATTGGCAGGTGAGATTGGCAGGTGAGATTGGCAGGTGAGATTGGCAGGTGAGATTGGCAGGTGAGATTGGCAGGTGAGATTGGCAGGTGAGATTGGCAGGTGAGATTGGCAGGTGAGATTGGCAGGTGAGATTGGCAGGTGAGATTGGCAGGTGAGATTGGCAGGTGAGATTGGCAGGTGAGATTGGCAGGTGAGATTGGCAGGTGAGATTGGCAGGTGAGATTGGCAGGTGAGATTGGCAGGTGAGATTGGCAGGTGAGATTGGCAGGTGAGATTGGCAGGCGAGATTGGCTGGTGAGATTGGCAGGTGAGATTGGCTGGTGAGATTGGCAGGTGAGATTGGCAGGTGAGATTGGCAGGTGAGATTGGCAGGTGAGATTGGCAGGTGAGATTGGCAGGTGAGATTGGCAGGTGAGATTGGCTGGTGAGATTGGCAGGTGAGATTGGCAGGTGAGATTGGCAGGTGAGATTGGCTGGTGAGATTGGCAGGTGAGATTGGCAGGTGAGATTGGCAGGTGAGATTGGCAGGTGAGATTGGCAGGTGAGATTGGCAGGTGAGATTGGCTGGTGAGATTGGCAGGTGAGATTGGCAGGTGAGATTGGCAGGTGAGATTGGCTGGTGAGATTGGCAGGTGAGATTGGCAGGTGAGATTGGCAGGTGAGATTGGCAGGTGTAATTGGCAGGTGAGATTGGCAGGTGAGATTGGCAGGTGAGATTGGCAGGTGAGATTGGCAGGTGAGATTGGCTGGTGAGATTGGCAGGTGAGATTGGCAGGTGAGATTGGCAGGTGAGATTGGCAGGTGAGATTGGCAGGTGAGATTGGCAGGTGAGATTGGCAGGTGAGATTGGCTGGTGAGATTGGCAGGTGAGATTGGCAGGTGAGATTGGCAGGTGAGATTGGCAGGTGAGATTGGCAGGTGAGATTGGCAGGTGAGATTGGCAGGTGAGATTGGCAGGTGAGATTGACAGGTGAGATTGGCTGGTGAGATTGGCTGGTGAGATTGGCAGGTGAGATTGGCTGGTGAGATTGGCTGGTGAGATTGGCAGGTGAGATTGGCAGGTGAGATTGGCAGGTGAGATTGGCAGGTGAGATTGGCAGGTGAGATTGGCAGGTGAGATTGGCAGGTGAGATTGGCAGGTGAGATTGGCAGGTGAGATTGGCAGGTGAGATTGGCAGGTGAGATTGGCAGGTGAGATTGGCAGGTGAGATTGGCAGGTGAGATTGGCAGGTGAGATTGGCAGGTGAGATTGGCAGGTGAGATTGGCAGGTGAGATTGGCAGGTGAGATTGGCAGGTGAGATTGGCAGGTGAGATTGGCAGGTGAGATTGGCAGGTGAGATTGGCAGGTGAGATTGGCAGGTGAGATTGGCAGGTGAGATTGGCAGGTGAGATTGGCAGGTGAGATTGGCTGGTGAGATTGGCTGGTGAGATTGGCTGGTGAGATTGGCAGGTGAGATTGGCAGGTGAGATTGGCAGGTGAGATTGGCAGGTGAGATTGGCAGGTGAGATTGGCAGGTGAGATTGGCAGGTGAGATTGGCAGGTGAGATTGGCAGGTGAGATTGGCAGGTGAGATTGGCAGGTGAGATTGGCAGGTGAGATTGGCAGGTGAGATTGGCTGGTGAGATTGACAGGTGAGATTGGCAGGTGAGATTGGCAGGTGAGATTGGCAGGTGAGATTGGCAGGTGAGATTGGCAGGTGAGATTGGCAGGTGAGATTGGCAGGTGAGATTGGCAGGTGAGATTGGCAGGTGAGATTGGCTGGTGAGATTGGCAGGTGAGATTGGCAGGTGAGATTGGCAGGTGAGATTGGCAGGTGAGATTGGCAGGTGAGATTGGCAGGTGAGATTGGCAGGTGAGATTGGCTGGTGAGATTGGCAGGTGAGATTGGCTGGTGAGATTGGCAGGTGAGATTGGCAGGTGAGATTGGCAGGTGAGATTGACAGGTGAGATTGGCAGGTGAGATTGACAGGTGAGATTGGCTGGTGAGATTGGCTGGTGAGATTGGCAGGTGAGATTGGCAGGTGAGATTGGCAGGTGAGATTGGCTTGGCACCAGATATCACGATTTTTTAGGCACCTAAAACATGCTCCTCGCATCACTTGCTGCTGGCTGCAGTGACTGGCAGGTGAGATTGGCAGGTGAGATTGGCAGGTGAGATTGGCAGGTGAGATTGGCAGGTGAGATTGGCAGGTGAGATTGGCAGGTGAGATTGGCAGGTGAGATTGGCAGGTGAGATTGGCTGGTGAGATTGGCAGGTGAGATTGGCAGGTGAGATTGGCAGGTGAGATTGGCTGGTGAGATTGGCAGGTGAGATTGGCAGGTGAGATTGGCAGGTGAGATTGGCAGGTGAGATTGGCAGGTGAGATTGGCAGGTGAGATTGGCTGGTGAGATTGGCAGGTGAGATTGGCAGGTGAGATTGGCAGGTGAGATTGGCTGGTGAGATTGGCAGGTGAGATTGGCAGGTGAGATTGGCAGGTGAGATTGGCAGGTGAGATTGGCAGGTGAGATTGGCAGGTGAGATTGGCAGGTGAGATTGGCAGGTGAGATTGGCAGGTGAGATTGGCAGGTGAGATTGGCAGGTGAGATTGGCAGGTGAGATTGGCAGGTGAGATTGGCAGGTGAGATTGGCAGGTGAGATTGGCAGGTGAGATTGGCAGGTGAGATTGGCTGGTGAGATTGGCAGGTGAGATTGGCAGGTGAGATTGGCAGGTGAGATTGGCAGGTGAGATTGGCAGGTGAGATTGGCAGGTGAGATTGGCAGGTGAGATTGGCAGGTGAGATTGGCAGGTGAGATCGGCTGGTGAGATTGGCAGGTGAGATTGGCAGGTGAGATTGGCTGGTGAGATTGACAGGTGAGATTGGCAGGTGAGATTGGCAGGTGAGATTGGCAGGTGAGATTGGCAGGTGAGATTGGCAGGTGAGATTGGCAGGTGAGATTGGCAGGTGAGATTGGCAGGTGAGATTGGCAGGTGAGATTGGCTGGTGAGATTGGCAGGTGAGATTGGCAGGTGAGATTGGCAGGTGAGATTGGCAGGTGAGATTGGCAGGTGAGATTGGCAGGTGAGATTGGCAGGTGAGATTGGCTGGTGAGATTGGCAGGTGAGATTGGCTGGTGAGATTGGCAGGTGAGATTGGCAGGTGAGATTGGCAGGTGAGATTGACAGGTGAGATTGGCAGGTGAGATTGACAGGTGAGATTGGCTGGTGAGATTGGCTGGTGAGATTGGCAGGTGAGATTGGCAGGTGAGATTGGCAGGTGAGATTGGCAGGTGAGATTGGCAGGTGAGATTGGCAGGTGAGATTGGCAGGTGAGATTGGCAGGTGAGATTGGCAGGTGAGATTGGCAGGTGAGATTGGCAGGTGAGATTGGCAGGTGAGATTGGCTGGTGAGATTGACAGGTGAGATTGGCAGGTGAGATTGGCAGGTGAGATTGGCAGGTGAGATTGGCAGGTGAGATTGGCAGGTGAGATTGGCAGGTGAGATTGGCAGGTGAGATTGGCAGGTGAGATTGGCAGGTGAGATTGGCTGGTGAGATTGGCAGGTGAGATTGGCAGGTGAGATTGGCAGGTGAGATTGGCAGGTGAGATTGGCAGGTGAGATTGGCAGGTGAGATTGGCAGGTGAGATTGGCTGGTGAGATTGGCAGGTGAGATTGGCTGGTGAGATTGGCAGGTGAGATTGGCAGGTGAGATTGGCAGGTGAGATTGACAGGTGAGATTGGCAGGTGAGATTGACAGGTGAGATTGGCTGGTGAGATTGGCTGGTGAGATTGGCAGGTGAGATTGGCAGGTGAGATTGGCAGGTGAGATTGGCTTGGCACCAGATATCACGATTTTTTAGGCACCTAAAACATGCTCCTCGCATCACTTGCTGCTGGCTGCAGTGACTGGCAGGTGAGATTGGCAGGTGAGATTGGCAGGTGAGATTGGCAGGTGAGATTGGCAGGTGAGATTGGCAGGTGAGATTGGCAGGTGAGATTGGCAGGTGAGATTGGCAGGTGAGATTGGCTGGTGAGATTGGCAGGTGAGATTGGCAGGTGAGATTGGCAGGTGAGATTGGCTGGTGAGATTGGCAGGTGAGATTGGCAGGTGAGATTGGCAGGTGAGATTGGCAGGTGAGATTGGCAGGTGAGATTGGCAGGTGAGATTGGCTGGTGAGATTGGCAGGTGAGATTGGCAGGTGAGATTGGCAGGTGAGATTGGCTGGTGAGATTGGCAGGTGAGATTGGCAGGTGAGATTGGCAGGTGAGATTGGCAGGTGAGATTGGCAGGTGAGATTGGCAGGTGAGATTGGCAGGTGAGATTGGCAGGTGAGATTGGCAGGTGAGATTGGCAGGTGAGATTGGCAGGTGAGATTGGCAGGTGAGATTGGCAGGTGAGATTGGCAGGTGAGATTGGCTGGTGAGATTGGCAGGTGAGATTGGCAGGTGAGATTGGCAGGTGAGATTGGCTGGTGAGATTGGCAGGTGAGATTGGCAGGTGAGATTGGCAGGTGAGATTGGCAGGTGAGATTGGCAGGTGAGATTGGCAGGTGAGATTGGCAGGTGAGATTGGCAGGTGAGATTGGCAGGTGAGATTGGCAGGTGAGATCGGCTGGTGAGATTGGCAGGTGAGATTGGCAGGTGAGATTGGCTGGTGAGATTGACAGGTGAGATTGGCAGGTGAGATTGGCAGGTGAGATTGGCAGGTGAGATTGGCAGGTGAGATTGGCAGGTGAGATTGGCAGGTGAGATTGGCAGGTGAGATTGGCAGGTGAGATTGGCAGGTGAGATTGGCTGGTGAGATTGGCAGGTGAGATTGGCAGGTGAGATTGGCAGGTGAGATTGGCAGGTGAGATTGGCAGGTGAGATTGGCAGGTGAGATTGGCAGGTGAGATTGGCTGGTGAGATTGGCAGGTGAGATTGGCTGGTGAGATTGGCAGGTGAGATTGGCAGGTGAGATTGGCAGGTGAGATTGACAGGTGAGATTGGCAGGTGAGATTGACAGGTGAGATTGGCTGGTGAGATTGGCTGGTGAGATTGGCAGGTGAGATTGGCAGGTGAGATTGGCAGGTGAGATTGGCTTGGCACCAGATATCACGATTTTTTAGGCACCTAAAACATGCTCCTCGCATCACTTGCTGCTGGCTGCAGTGACTGGCAGGTGAGATTGGCAGGTGAGATTGGCAGGTGAGATTGGCAGGTGAGATTGGCAGGTGAGATTGGCAGGTGAGATTGGCAGGTGAGATTGGCAGGTGAGATTGGCAGGTGAGATTGGCTGGTGAGATTGGCAGGTGAGATTGGCAGGTGAGATTGGCAGGTGAGATTGGCTGGTGAGATTGGCAGGTGAGATTGGCAGGTGAGATTGGCAGGTGAGATTGGCAGGTGAGATTGGCAGGTGAGATTGGCAGGTGAGATTGGCTGGTGAGATTGGCAGGTGAGATTGGCAGGTGAGATTGGCAGGTGAGATTGGCTGGTGAGATTGGCAGGTGAGATTGGCAGGTGAGATTGGCAGGTGAGATTGGCAGGTGAGATTGGCAGGTGAGATTGGCAGGTGAGATTGGCAGGTGAGATTGGCAGGTGAGATTGGCTGGTGAGATTGGCAGGTGAGATTGGCAGGTGAGATTGGCAGGTGAGATTGGCAGGTGAGATTGGCAGGTGAGATTGGCAGGTGAGATTGGCAGGTGAGATTGGCAGGTGAGATTGGCAGGTGAGATTGGCAGGTGAGATTGGCAGGTGAGATTGGCAGGTGAGATTGGCAGGTGAGATTGGCTGGTGAGATTGACAGGTGAGATTGGCAGGTGAGATTGGCAGGTGAGATTGGCAGGTGAGATTGGCAGGTGAGATTGGCAGGTGAGATTGGCAGGTGAGATTGGCAGGTGAGATTGGCAGGTGAGATTGGCAGGTGAGATTGGCTGGTGAGATTGGCAGGTGAGATTGGCAGGTGAGATTGGCAGGTGAGATTGGCAGGTGAGATTGGCAGGTGAGATTGGCAGGTGAGATTGGCAGGTGAGATTGGCTGGTGAGATTGGCAGGTGAGATTGGCTGGTGAGATTGGCAGGTGAGATTGGCAGGTGAGATTGGCAGGTGAGATTGACAGGTGAGATTGGCAGGTGAGATTGACAGGTGAGATTGGCTGGTGAGATTGGCTGGTGAGATTGGCAGGTGAGATTGGCAGGTGAGATTGGCAGGTGAGATTGGCTTGGCACCAGATATCACGATTTTTTAGGCACCTAAAACATGCTCCTCGCATCACTTGCTGCTGGCTGCAGTGACTGGCAGGTGAGATTGGCAGGTGAGATTGGCAGGTGAGATTGGCAGGTGAGATTGGCAGGTGAGATTGGCAGGTGAGATTGGCAGGTGAGATTGGCAGGTGAGATTGGCAGGTGAGATTGGCTGGTGAGATTGGCAGGTGAGATTGGCAGGTGAGATTGGCAGGTGAGATTGGCTGGTGAGATTGGCAGGTGAGATTGGCAGGTGAGATTGGCAGGTGAGATTGGCAGGTGAGATTGGCAGGTGAGATTGGCAGGTGAGATTGGCTGGTGAGATTGGCAGGTGAGATTGGCAGGTGAGATTGGCAGGTGAGATTGGCTGGTGAGATTGGCAGGTGAGATTGGCAGGTGAGATTGGCAGGTGAGATTGGCAGGTGAGATTGGCAGGTGAGATTGGCAGGTGAGATTGGCAGGTGAGATTGGCAGGTGAGATTGGCAGGTGAGATTGGCAGGTGAGATTGGCAGGTGAGATTGGCAGGTGAGATTGGCAGGTGAGATTGGCAGGTGAGATTGGCTGGTGAGATTGGCAGGTGAGATTGGCAGGTGAGATTGGCAGGTGAGATTGGCTGGTGAGATTGGCAGGTGAGATTGGCAGGTGAGATTGGCAGGTGAGATTGGCAGGTGAGATTGGCAGGTGAGATTGGCAGGTGAGATTGGCAGGTGAGATTGGCAGGTGAGATTGGCAGGTGAGATTGGCAGGTGAGATCGGCTGGTGAGATTGGCAGGTGAGATTGGCAGGTGAGATTGGCTGGTGAGATTGGCAGGTGAGATTGGCAGGTGAGATTGGCAGGTGAGATTGGCAGGTGAGATTGGCAGGTGAGATTGGCAGGTGAGATTGGCAGGTGAGATTGGCAGGTGAGATTGGCAGGTGAGATTGGCAGGTGAGATTGGCAGGTGAGATTGGCAGGTGAGATTGGCTGGTGAGATTGGCAGGTGAGATTGGCAGGTGAGATTGGCAGGTGAGATTGGCAGGTGAGATTGGCAGGTGAGATTGGCAGGTGAGATTGGCAGGTGAGATTGGCTGGTGAGATTGGCAGGTGAGATTGGCAGGTGAGATTGGCAGGTGAGATTGACAGGTGAGATTGGCAGGTGAGATTGACAGGTGAGATTGGCTGGTGAGATTGGCTGGTGAGATTGGCAGGTGAGATTGGCAGGTGAGATTGGCAGGTGAGATTGGCAGGTGAGATTGGCAGGTGAGATTGGCAGGTGAGATTGGCAGGTGAGATTGGCAGGTGAGATTGGCAGGTGAGATTGGCAGGTGAGATTGGCAGGTGAGATTGGCAGGTGAGATTGGCTGGTGAGATTGACAGGTGAGATTGGCAGGTGAGATTGGCAGGTGAGATTGGCAGGTGAGATTGGCAGGTGAGATTGGCAGGTGAGATTGGCAGGTGAGATTGGCAGGTGAGATTGGCAGGTGAGATTGGCTGGTGAGATTGGCAGGTGAGATTGGCAGGTGAGATTGGCAGGTGAGATTGGCAGGTGAGATTGGCAGGTGAGATTGGCAGGTGAGATTGGCAGGTGAGATTGGCTGGTGAGATTGGCAGGTGAGATTGGCTGGTGAGATTGGCAGGTGAGATTGGCAGGTGAGATTGGCAGGTGAGATTGACAGGTGAGATTGGCAGGTGAGATTGACAGGTGAGATTGGCTGGTGAGATTGGCTGGTGAGATTGGCAGGTGAGATTGGCAGGTGAGATTGGCAGGTGAGATTGGCTTGGCACCAGATATCACGATTTTTTAGGCACCTAAAACATGCTCCTCGCATCACTTGCTGCTGGCTGCAGTGACTGGCAGGTGGCAGGTGAGATTGGCAGGTGAGATTGGCAGGTGAGATTGGCAGGTGAGATTGGCAGGTGAGATTGGCAGGTGAGATTGGCAGGTGAGATTGGCTGGTGAGATTGGCAGGTGAGATTGGCAGGTGAGATTGGCAGGTGAGATTGGCTGGTGAGATTGGCAGGTGAGATTGGCAGGTGAGATTGGCAGGTGAGATTGGCAGGTGAGATTGGCAGGTGAGATTGGCAGGTGAGATTGGCTGGTGAGATTGGCAGGTGAGATTGGCAGGTGAGATTGGCAGGTGAGATTGGCTGGTGAGATTGGCAGGTGAGATTGGCAGGTGAGATTGGCAGGTGAGATTGGCAGGTGAGATTGGCAGGTGAGATTGGCAGGTGAGATTGGCAGGTGAGATTGGCAGGTGAGATTGGCAGGTGAGATTGGCAGGTGAGATTGGCAGGTGAGATTGGCAGGTGAGATTGGCAGGTGAGATTGGCAGGTGAGATTGGCTGGTGAGATTGGCAGGTGAGATTGGCAGGTGAGATTGGCAGGTGAGATTGGCTGGTGAGATTGGCAGGTGAGATTGGCAGGTGAGATTGGCAGGTGAGATTGGCAGGTGAGATTGGCAGGTGAGATTGGCAGGTGAGATTGGCAGGTGAGATTGGCAGGTGAGATTGGCAGGTGAGATCGGCTGGTGAGATTGGCAGGTGAGATTGGCAGGTGAGATTGGCTGGTGAGATTGACAGGTGAGATTGGCAGGTGAGATTGGCAGGTGAGATTGGCAGGTGAGATTGGCAGGTGAGATTGGCAGGTGAGATTGGCAGGTGAGATTGGCAGGTGAGATTGGCAGGTGAGATTGGCAGGTGAGATTGGCTGGTGAGATTGGCAGGTGAGATTGGCAGGTGAGATTGGCAGGTGAGATTGGCAGGTGAGATTGGCAGGTGAGATTGGCAGGTGAGATTGGCAGGTGAGATTGGCTGGTGAGATTGGCAGGTGAGATTGGCTGGTGAGATTGGCAGGTGAGATTGGCAGGTGAGATTGGCAGGTGAGATTGACAGGTGAGATTGGCAGGTGAGATTGACAGGTGAGATTGGCTGGTGAGATTGGCTGGTGAGATTGGCAGGTGAGATTGGCAGGTGAGATTGGCAGGTGAGATTGGCTTGGCACCAGATATCACGATTTTTTAGGCACCTAAAACATGCTCCTCGCATCACTTGCTGCTGGCTGCAGTGACTGGCAGGTGAGATTGGCAGGTGAGATTGGCAGGTGAGATTGGCAGGTGAGATTGGCAGGTGAGATTGGCAGGTGAGATTGGCAGGTGAGATTGGCAGGTGAGATTGGCAGGTGAGATTGGCTGGTGAGATTGGCAGGTGAGATTGGCAGGTGAGATTGGCAGGTGAGATTGGCTGGTGAGATTGGCAGGTGAGATTGGCAGGTGAGATTGGCAGGTGAGATTGGCAGGTGAGATTGGCAGGTGAGATTGGCAGGTGAGATTGGCTGGTGAGATTGGCAGGTGAGATTGGCAGGTGAGATTGGCTGGTGAGATTGGCAGGTGAGATTGGCAGGTGAGATTGGCAGGTGAGATTGGCAGGTGAGATTGGCAGGTGAGATTGGCAGGTGAGATTGGCAGGTGAGATTGGCAGGTGAGATTGGCAGGTGAGATTGGCTGGTGAGATTGGCAGGTGAGATTGGCAGGTGAGATTGGCAGGTGAGATTGGCTGGTGAGATTGGCAGGTGAGATTGGCAGGTGAGATTGGCAGGTGAGATTGGCAGGTGAGATTGGCAGGTGAGATTGGCAGGTGAGATTGGCAGGTGAGATTGGCAGGTGAGATTGGCAGGTGAGATCGGCTGGTGAGATTGGCAGGTGAGATTGGCAGGTGAGATTGGCAGGTGAGATTGGCAGGTGAGATTGGCAGGTGAGATTGGCAGGTGAGATTGGCAGGTGAGATTGGCTGGTGAGATTGGCAGGTGAGATTGGCAGGTGAGATTGGCAGGTGAGATTGGCAGGTGAGATTGGCAGGTGAGATTGGCAGGTGAGATTGGCAGGTGAGATTGGCAGGTGAGATTGACAGGTGAGATTGGCTGGTGAGATTGGCTGGTGAGATTGGCAGGTGAGATTGGCTGGTGAGATTGGCTGGTGAGATTGGCAGGTGAGATTGGCAGGTGAGATTGGCAGGTGAGATTGGCAGGTGAGATTGGCAGGTGAGATTGGCAGGTGAGATTGGCAGGTGAGATTGGCTTGGCACCAGATATCACGATTTTTTAGGCACCTAAAACATGCTCCTCGCATCACTTGCTGCTGGCTGCAGTGACTGGCAGGTGAGATTGGTCTGACACCAGATAGATATTACCTGAAGTGGCAGATGTGCGGCAGATACACATGTTGAGTAAGCACATGATAGTCTCAAAAGCGCATGATAGATATTACCTGGAGTGGCATAAGTGCTTCAGATACACATGTTGAGTATTCTCAAAAGTGATACGCATATGATACGGGAGGCAGAGATATGCACTCAGTGCTCCCCTCTCTTTTCCTCTCAGTCCACCTCTTGTGATACTTCCAGCACCGCTACCCGCTCGCTCTCCTTCATTGTCTCTCCCACACTCTCTCGTCGCTTCACTTCACACTCTTATGCCCCCAACCACCCTTCTTTCCTCTCCTTTCCCCCCCATCTCCTTTCCGCCCCTGGATGCCCTTAAAGCTCTTCGTCTCCCCTTTCTGGTCACCCTCTGCCCCTTCCACCACCCTCCGCCCCCCTCCTTCCAGGTCCGTTCATGGGCGGCAGCAGTACCCCCCTCCCCAGATACCACCTCCCATTCAGCACACACCCTCACGACTTTTGAGGCGCCTCAAAAATCGTTCATGGGCGGCAGCAGTACCCCGTCCCCAGACACCAGCTCCCATTCAGCACATACCCTCACGACTGCTCTTATTTCCCCTTCATCACCCTCTGCCCCTTCCACCACCCTCCGCCCCCGTCCTTCCAGGTCCGTTCATGGGCGGCAGCAGTACCCCCCTCCCCAGATACCACCTCCCTGCACCTTTTATTCGGCACAGCCCCTCACGTGTGGCTCTCAGCAGGGCACGAGCAGGCAGTGTGGTGCAACCAGCCCGTGGCTCAGGTGTGTGATGGTATGCGGTGGTGTGTGGTGGTACGCAGTCTTGTGTGGTGGTAGTGCCGGTGTCAGCCTGTGCTGTGCCGCTAGCACATCCCCTCATCTGTGGGGCTCTCAGCAGGGCACGAGCAGGCAGTGTGGTGCAACCAGCCCATGGCTCAGGTGTGCGGTGGTGTGTGGTGATATGCGGTGGTATGTGATGGTATATGATCAACCCACACTCTTAACCTACCCGCCCTCAGCATTCCCATGCCTCCTATCATCACTGGTCAACCCATGCACGTACAACCCATGCACGTACGACCCATGCACGTACAACCCATGCACGTACAACCCATGCACGTACAACCCATGCACGTACAACCCATGCACGTACAACCCATGCACGTACAACCCATGCACGTACAACCCATGCACGTACAACCCATGCACGTACAACCCATGCACGTACAACCCATGCACGTACAACCCATGCACGTACAACCCATGCACGTACAACCCATGCACGTACAACCCATGCACGTACAACCCATGCACGTACAACCCATGCACGTACAACCCATGCACGTACAACCCATGCACGTACAACCCATGCACGTACAACCCATGCACGTACAACCCATGCACGTACAACCCATGCACGTACAACCCATGCACGTACAACCCATGCACGTACAACCCATGCACGTACAACCCATGCACGTACAACCCATGCACGTACAACCCATGCACGTACAACCCATGCACGTACAACCCATGCACGTACAACCCATGCACGTACAACCTATGCACGTACAACCTATGCACGTACAACCCATGCACGTACAACCCATGCACGTACAACCCATGCACGTACAACCCATGCACGTACAACCCATGCACGTACAACCCATGCACGTACAACCCATGCACGTACAACCCATGCACGTACAACCCATGCACGTACAACCCATGCACGTACAACCCATGCACGTACAACCCATGCACGTACAACCCATGCACGTACAACCCATGCACGTACAACCCATGCACGTACAACCCATGCACGTACAACCCATGCACGTACAACCCATGCACGTACAACCCATGCACGTACAACCCATGCACGTACAACCCATGCACGTACAACCCATGCACGTACAACCCATGCACGTACAACCCATGCACGTACAACCCATGCACGTACAACCCATGCACGTACAACCCATGCACGTACAACCCATGCACGTACGACCCATGCACGTACGACCCATGCACGTACGACCCATGCACGTACAACCCATGCACGTACAACCCATGCACGTACAACCCATGCACGTACAACCCATGCACGTACAACCCATGCACGTACAACCCATGCACGTACAACCCATGCACGTACAACCCATGCACGTACAACCCATGCACGTACGACCCATGCACGTACGACCCATGCACGTACGACCCATGCACGTACGACCCATGCACGTACAACCCATGCACGTACAACCCATGCACGTACAACCCATGCACGTACAACCCATGCACGTACAACCCATGCACGTACAACCCATGCACGTACAACCCATGCACGTACAACCCATGCACGTACAACCCATGCACGTACAACCCATGCACGTACAACCCATGCACGTACAACCCATGCACGTACAACCCAGGCACGTACAACCCATGCACGTACAACCCATGCACGTACAACCCATGCACGTACAACCCATGCACGTACAACCCATGCACGTACAACCCATGCACGTACAACCCATGCACGTACAACCCATGCACGTACAACCCAGGCACGTACAACCCATGCACGTACGACCCATGCACGTACAACCCATGCACGTACAACCCATGCACGTACAACCCTTCTCCCTTCCATCCCCCGCCCCATCCCCATCCCCCTTCTCCCCTTCCCTCCCATCCCTACCTCTCCTCTGGATCCTGCCCACAGCTCGCCCACGCCCTTCTGTCCCTCGTCAACCCACGCACATCCCAGCCCCCACGCCCTTCTGTCCCTCGTCAACCCACGCACATCCCAGCCCTTCTCCTCCCCTAACATGCGCCGTGCAATCATCTCCTGCCACCTGTCCTCCCCACCTCCCAACTTCTCTCCCTTCTCTCAAATCACCCCCTTTTCTCCCACAGCTCGCCCACGCCCTCCTATCCCTCGTCAACCCACACACGTCGCAGCCCTTCTCCTCCCCTAACACACGCCGTGCAATCATCTCCTGCCACCTGTCCGCCCCGCCTCTCCTATTCCGGCCGTTGCTGCTTGGATCCCCCGACAGAGCAGCTTCACCCGCTTCACTCCATGAGCCCACCGTGCAGCAGACAGAACAGGAGAAACAGCAGCATAAGGAGCAGCAGAAGCAGCAGCAGGAACAGCAACAGCAGCAGCAGAAACAGCAACAGCAGCAGCAGAAACAGCAACAGCAGCAGCAGGAGCAGCAAGTGAAGTGGAAGCAAGAGCAGAGGAGTGACGGGCACACATCAGTGCAGCTGAGCTCAGGCTCGTTCGTACACAAATGGGCCTCACACGCCCATGAGTCTCTCTCCTTCCACATCAACCTGCCTGTGAGCTATGGCTGTTCAGGGTACAGGTATAGGATTCTTTTAGCACATATAGCATTCTACCTTGGTGTAAAAGTTTTAAGGCGCTCAAGCCTTCCACGTCAACCTGCCTGTGAGCTGAGATGGCTGCTCAGAGTGTTGTGGCTACAGTGTTCTACCTTTTGTGTAAATGCCTGTGAGCTGAGAGAGTGGCATTTACAGTGTGGCATTTACAGTGTTCTACCTTTCGTGGAAAGTTACTTTTGAGGATTCTCATCTTCCCCTCCCCTGCCTTGAGACGTCTCAGAACAAATCAATCAGCACATACAAACAACCTTTTGTGTAAAGCTGTAACTTCCCATCCTCCCCTCCCCTGTCCATCCTCAGTCCCTTCCATCCCTCTTTCATTTCTCCACTCAAATTAACCAGATCTATCAAACCAATATTATATCTGTTTTTGTTTGTGGTGAAAGGGGGCGGGGGGGGGCGGGGATCACATATTATCGCACATTCCATGCACTCTCGACACTTTGCTTCTTGTATCAGTTCTGTTTCTGTCGAGGCCATAAGAATTGGATACCCCCAACCCAAACTCATTCCCTTCTTGAATCTCCTCCTGCCTCCCACCCCAAACCCTCCCGCTCCCAAAAACGTATCTTACAGATTGAAGCACCATCACCCCACACAGCAGGCGGCAGCAGCAGGGCCCTGGTTCTTCTATCGAATGTGCTCCCATGCGACGGCATGAATCTCACCCTCGTTATAAGCACACAGAAGGGGGCCGGGGAGGAGAGCTATGGAGAGGATCCCCTCGATATAAGAACGCAGGAGGAGAGGAGGCAGGGAGACGATAAGAGGGTGAAAGGGGAGGGTCAGGGAGAGCAGGAGGCTAGGAAAATGGGAGTGAGGAGATACCGTATGGATTGTGGGAGTAAGGCAGGGGAGGTGGAGGGAGGGTTTGGGGAGGAGGAGGGGAGTTGTGGCGATGGAAGTGAGGGTGACGTGTCATCCTATGTTTTGACACGGCTGCTCGTGCCTCTGCCCTCCCCACCCGGAAGCAGTGCTTTTGTAAGTGCCTTAAAGTGCATCACTCAATCCCGCATTGCCAATTCAAAAGAAGATAAACAAAAACGTGAAAAAAAGGGGTGAAATGTTCAGTTCCTAAGGCATACGGTTCGGGGCTTTAAATATAAATAGACTAGTAATTGTGCTTTTATTCCCAACCAGCCTCTACTCGCTCTTCCTTGCCTCCCTACCTCCCAGTCCCTCCCAGTATCACAGGCATCACAGCAGGTCACAGGGCTGCTGTGCTCATGCTGCCTCTGCCTTCGCCTTCCCTTGCCTCCCTTCCCTCCCTCCCTGTCCCTCCCAGTATCACCGGCATCACAGCAGGTCACAGGGCAGCCGCCACAGCCGTCCCCACTTGCCCTCGTTATCCTGCCTCTGCCCTTGCCTCTCCTTACTTCCCCTTGCTCCCTGCCTCTCCTCGCCTTCCCTTGCCTCCCTTCCCTCCCTCCCAGTCCCTCCCAGTATCACCGGCATCACAGCAGGTCACAGGGCAGGTGCCCCAGCCGTCCCCTCTTGCCCTGCTCATACTGCCTCTGGAGATGGCAGACCGGGGTGGTGCTGGTCGTGTAAGGACGGCTACTCTGCATGTGAATATCAATACCAAGGTGCGGAGTTCAATTTCCAGCGTAACCAACAGTGCACTCACACTTTGAGACGTCTTCACAGCCAGTGTCATCACTCGATCCGCAATCATTTCTCTTAATCCGTGTTGCTCTTGTTCCTCTTGTTCCTCGTGTTCCTCTTGTTCCTCTTGTTCCTCGTGTTCCTCGTGTTCCTCTTGTTCCTCTTGTTCCTCTTGTTCCTCTTGTTCCTCGTGTTCCTCTTGTTCCTCTTGTTCCTCTTGTTCCTCGTGTTCCTCGTGTTCCTCGTGTTCCTCGTGTTCCTCGTGTTTGTCGTGTTCCTCGTGTTCCTCTTGTTCCTCGTGTTCCTCGTGTTCCTCGTGTTCCTCGTATCGTCGTGTTCCTCGTGTTCCTCTTGTTCCTCGTGTTCCTCGTGTTCGTCGTGTTCCTCTTGTTCCTCGTGTTCCTCGTGTTCCTCTTGTTCCTCGTGTTCCTCGTGTTCCTCGTGTTCCTCGTGTGTTCCTCTTGTTCCTCGTGTCGTCGTGTTCCTCGTGTTCCTCTTGTTCCTCGTGTTCCTCGTGTTCGTCGTGTTCCTCTTGTTCCTCGTGTTCCTCGTGTTCCTCTTGTTCCTCGTGTTCCTCGTGTTCCTCGTGTTCCTCGTGTGTTCCTCTTGTTCCTCGTGTTCCTCTTGTTCCTCTTGTTCCTCGTGCTCCTCTTGTTCCTCGTGTTCCTCGTGTTCCTCGTGTTCCTCTTGTTCCTCGTGTTCCTCTTGTTCCTCTTGTTCCTCGTGTTCCTCTTGTTCCTCTTGTTCCTCGTGTTCCTCTTGTTCCTCGTGTTCCTCGTGTTCCTCTCCATCCATGCACAAGCCTCGCCCCCCTCTCCACGTCTTTGGGAGCTGATCATGGGCGCCTCAGAAGAACGAGCAATCACACGCAACCTCCATCTCTTTTCCTTCCTCCATCCATGTTACTCTTGCTTCACTTCACAGGGGAAATATCGCCCCCCTCTCCACTTCGTCTCTTTGGAGCTTATTTTTAAAAGCGCCTCAAAGCAACACTTCCACCTGCCTTCCGTTCTTCCTTCTCTCCCTTCTTCCTTCTCTCTTGTTTATCAGGGCAAGCCTCGGCCCCCTCTGCACTTCCTCTCGATGGACCTGGCACCACTCAATCTCCACCCTCCACTCTCCTCCTCCTCTTCCTCCTCCTCCTCCTCCTCCTCCTCCTCCTCCTCCTCCTCCTCCTCCTCCTCCTCCTCCTCCTCCTCCTCCTCCTCCTCCTCCTCCCCCCCCACCACCACCACTCCAACCCACTCCTCTCGGTCAAAGTCTCTCTCCCTGCTATCATTGCTCGTCTCCATCGTTCAGCCTCTACACCTGGTAAGGATTCAAGCTTTTGAGGCGCCTCAAAAGACATATGGTAAGGATTCAACCTCCCAATGGAATAGCAGCAAACTCGAGGAAAACGCTTAATGCAATTAAGGAAGCATGTGGTTGAAGCGAATCTTTCAGCCTCTACATCTGCTAAACCATGTCTCGGTTTGGTCTCTCCACTGACGCTCTTCAACTTATTCACACTAATGCTAATGCTTCACCTGCGTGCAGCCACTATCATCAATCTCCGCCAATCGGAAGCAACAGCAGCAGCAGCATCAGGGACAGGAGCAGCAGCCACTTCTGTCCGTTGTCTCGCTCCCACCTGCTGCTGCTCATCTCTCTCTGCACCTGCGCTTGCTGCCCTCCCAACCTCAAACCACCTCCAGCGTGTCCCTTGGTACGTTTCCCCACTTTTGAGACGTCTGCATTTGAGTTTCCTGACGTCTCAGCATCTGAGCTTTTAGACATCTCAAGATCTCAATCCCCCACCCATCATCCACCTCCACTTGCTGCCCTCCCAACATCAAACCACCTCCAGCGTTTCCCCACTTATGGGACATCTCAAATGTTAATATTTGACATTTAAACCCGCTAATAGGAATCCCCTTATTAACAGTGTATGGATGCCTCCAGATGGGAATCGTCCCTCTCTTCATCCCCACTCTCCCATCTCCCCCCCATCCCATCCCATCCGCCTCTCCCCCATCTCATCCCCCTCCCATGTTAGAATTGAACCATTGACTTGATTAGGAATCATGAGGGCTTTCATAGTTGAAGCTAGGGGAGGGGGGTTGGTTGGGTACTTAGCCAACATTATTGCTCCCCCACCAATAAGTTAGGTTGGAGAATTATTGGGGGGTCCCAATAATGTTGGCCAAAAGTGGGCCAACATTATTGGGGGGGCCAATAATCTCCCAACTCAACCTTGGAGGCCAATAATTGGACCAAGGTTGGGTTCCAACCCCCAACTAGGGTTAACCCTAGTTGTGCACCCAAACATAGTTTGGGTGCCTATCTCTATCCTAGGGTTTATAGGATCAATGCAAGATACAGAAGAGTAGTATAATCTAACATCCCCCCCATTCCATCCCCCTTCCCCTCATTCCATCCCCCTCCCCCCCATTCCATCTCCCCCATCTTCTCCATTCCATCTCCCCCATCTTCTCCATTCCATCTCCCCCATCTTCTCCATTCCATCTCCCCCATCTTCTCCAGGAGCCCAGCCGAGTCCCACCAGTTGTCACCCTGCTGCTGCTATCCTGGCATCTGCTCACACTGCTGCTCCTGCACCATCTCACACTGCAGCAGCCAGTGCGAGCCACCGGAAAAGCTGCTTACAACGTGAACATGAAGGGAGCTATAAGATCCTGTCGTCCCATACCTTCCTCCGCTCCACAGTCCTTGAGCTCGACTCTCCCCCGCCACACCTCATGCGCCCCTCCTGCCGCCACTGCCACTATCACCACAATCACCCCCATTGTCACCAACGCGATTGCCACCATTCCCAATGCCGCTCGCAGACGAGCGAGCAGGAAGGCGGGGGAGCAGCGGCACACAGTAGCTCTCGTTGTGACGCGTCTCAGAACCCGCAAATTCATGCCAAGAGCAATGCCGGCGGGAGTTTTTTGAGAGACGGTTCAGAGGAGGTGGAGCATTGGGGCAGAGACGAACTCGCCTTGATGCTGCTGGTAAGGTTTGTTGAGTTGACAAAAGGAGGGGTGGGTTTTCCTCGAGTGACTGTGTGTGGTGGCTCAGAGGAGGTGGTGCATCTTGGCAGAGAGGACGGACTCGCCTTGATGCTGCTGGTAAAGCCTGCATGGTTCAGATCAAACCCACATCCCTTCTCTCCCACCCTCCCTCGCCCGCAAACACCCTGCCCATCTCTCTCCTCTCTTCCTTGCCATCCCGTATCAGAAATCATACTCTTTGCATGCTTTCCCTCATCCACTCCCTCTCTTAGAGTCTCAGAATTCCTACTCCCCTACTCACCAAGTTCTGAGACGTTTCAAATCCCTTCCTCCCTCCCTCGGTGCCTCAACTTCCCACTCCCTCTACTCCCCCCACTCCCCCCACTTCCCCCACTCCCTCCCTCCAGGTGGAGACCTCCTGCCCCTCCTCCCTCCTCATCTCCGTTGACCTTCCACGATCCCTCGCCTCCCTCCTCCTCTCCTCCCTCCCTCTCCTCATCGGCTCGGCCCTCTCCCTCGCTCTCTGCACCTCCTCCTACCTCTTCTCTCACTCACTCTCCCACTCCTCCTCTCCCTCGCTCCACACTCTCCCTTCTCTCCTCTCTCTCATCGCCTCCTCTCCTTGGCCGTCTTTCTCTAGCCCTGTTCCACGCTCCCTCCTCTCCTCGCTCATAATCTTCTCTCTCCTGCACTCCCTCTCTCACTCCTCTCACTTTTCACTCCCCCTCTCTCACTCCCATCCTCTAGAATCACCCCCCCACACACTCAGGATTCTCCACTCTCCAGGTTCATTCTGCTGCTTCCTCTTCCTCTCACCCTCTCCCTCTCTACCACTCCCTCCTCTCTCCGCTCCTCCTCTTCCTCCCTTCCCTTCCAAGACTCTCTCCTTCTCTCACCTCGTTTCTTCACACACTCACCTCCTCCCTTCACTCCTCCCTCCACTCCACCCTTCCCTCCTCTCTCTGCACCCTCCTTCCCTCTTCTCTCCAAATCAACCCAAACCGACCACACCATGCCACGTCATTCTTACTTTTCCTTGCATCAGCACGGTGCATGCTGAGCTGTATTTTCTCCACGCTGACATCAGCACTCGTCTCAATCCTCTTAGCAGTCGTAATCTCATCAGCAATTCTCTGCCTCCTCGTTGCTTTGCTAAAAGTGACCCTTAGCATCATCTCCTGGTGTGGTCGCTCCCGGTTTGGTGTATGGGAAGATGAAGGCACAAACATCCGCATGGTAAGTTCAAATAAAACCTGCGCACAAACCTACGTCGCGACACCTCATCAGGCTCTTCGATCGCAATAAGTCTGACTGAGTTTACCATTCTGTTTTCAAGCACACAATTTTTTACTTGTTGCATCGCCCATTCCTGCATCTTCTTGATTCATCCTGTCTGCTTGAAATAATTGGTAGCGAGATTAATCCACGTTCTTCACCAATCTATCCTTGTGTGCTTTTCAAACTCCTGCCATCCCCTTGATTTCAACTGCCAACAACAGGGGTATTGGCCCGCACTCCTCTTCCTCTTCCCCCTCCTTCCGCTCGCCCTCTTCTCCCCTTTCCTCGCTCTCCTCTTGGCTGCTGCTGTTCAAATCACACGGGCATCTCAAGCCAAGACAAGGTGAGATGAAGGCAGGTGGTTTTTGTTTGTCTGCTGTTTTTTGAGGGGGCACTCAAGTCTAAATCCATGCATGCACAATTTGAATCAGCGTCTTCCCCCTCCACTGCCTGCTGGTTGGTTCTTGAGAATTCTCAGAAACAAACGTGCCTGCTGTTGAGCCAACTCAAAAGTCAAGTTTCATTCAATTCCATGCACAGTTGATTCGCCGTGGTGTCCATTTTTGAGACGTCTCAAAAGTCGTCGTGGTGTCCATCCACTATCGTGGTGTCCATCCACTATCGTGGTGTCCATCCACTATCGTGGTGTCCATCCACTATCGTGGTGTCCATCCACTATCGTGCCTGCTGTTGAGTCGACTTGGTACTTTCACAACTCATGAGTTCAATTAGGATTCCAAACAGAATATTCCTTGTCCACTACCGGTATCATGCCTGTTGCTATCCACCAATCACAGGACTTCCCTCTCAGTGGTATCAGAGCTTCTTCTGGCCGATGCCCTCCTGCTGCTTGTCACTGCCCTCTTCCACCTGCCTCCCTTCATTGCTCTCCTCCACGCCAAGGTCTGTTTGCATGTGTGTGCTTGCGTGCGTACGTGCGCGCGCGCACACACACACACACGCATGCACGCACACATGCATGCACGCACACACGCACCTACACACACTAACACACACACACACACACACACACACACAGACACACACACACACACAGACACACACACACACACGCACGCACGCACGCACGCACGCACACACACACACACACACACACACACACACACACACACACACACACACACACACACACACACACTCAGCGGACGCGCTCCTTCGCAGCAAGTCGCACACAGCTCTTTTGAACAACCTGCTGCCCACTTTCGAGGCACTTGGAAGTTGGAACCATCATCTCATTTTCTCTCCTCTCCTCTCTTTCTCTCACCTCCACTCACTTCTCCCGCCTCCTGCCCCCATCCCATGCAGGCATCACTATCCATGGCCCCTTTCCAAGACATCCTGCCCTCCATAGCATCACTACTGCTTATAGTCACTCCACCGCTCTGCTCCTCCCAGAACTCCCCCACCCTTCCTTTCAAGCCAACAGTGTTGCAGCAAGTGGTGTTTTTTGTCTGCTATCTGTGCGGGGTGGCATCGTTTGTTTTTTCTCTGTACCTAGTTCCGCCTTTTTGTCTCAATGTGGTTGCTGTAGTTGCTGTTTCGAGATTCGTTATGTACCTCCCCCGTTTGTAAGTTATGATCCTTCACTATATTGTGTTCCATAGCTACTCATGCCCGTCAAAGTATGCTTAAATAATCAAACCGCGCTGTACCACCCACCAGGGGTTTTTTTATCAGAGTAAATTACTCTGTTTCTCTGAAAATCAGAGTGGTTTTTAGGGGGTCACTCTGATGTGTCAGGGTATTTTTTGAAGATAAAATTTCTCTGATTTGTCTGGGTTCTGATTTTAGCTACTCTGAGAGACCAGTGTATATTTTTGGCGAATGTATTTTTCTCTGTACAGGGAGGGCATTTCGACCGAGTCCCCCCCGCCTTCAATTGGTGGTAGATAGTTAGGCCTATTAGTTACGCTCATATAAACTTCGTTGGCATGTTGAATAATGAGCGCGTAGCATAACGATCACAATTTTGGTAGGAGTGCAGAAGACCTGGGTTCAATACTTGAGAGGACACCAAGAGTTGGAAAAATAGGAGCTTTGGTTGCATGGAGTAAGTTTTTTCAGAAGTGAAGTTTTCTCTGATAAATCAGAGTAACGCTCATAATGAACCCTGAATTTCAGAGTTCCCTAGAAAACAGCTCTGGAAATCCGAGTAGTGAAAATCCCAAAAAAAGCTCTGCCACCCACGCTTATATCGATGAAGGACCAATCAGCTTCTATATTCCTCTTCCTCTTCTTCGTCCTCCTCTTCCTCCTCCTCTTCTTCCTCCTCCTCTTCCTCTTCCTCTTCCTCCTCTTCCTTCTCTTCCTCCTCTTCCTCCTCTTCCTCCTCTTCCTCCTCTACCGGCTCCTCATCATCAAACTCAGCAGAGACTGGAGAGTTAAGGCTGTCCTCTGCTGCCACCTCCAGCCCCCCTTGAGAACCTCCCCCCCTGTTGTTGACCGCCGGTTAGTTGTGCGCAATGTATGCCATATCGTGACACTTTTCAAAACCCAACCTCCTGCGCCGGTTAGTGCGTACCGAATCCCACTCTGTCCACTTCCAATCGCAAGTCGATGCAGACACGGACTGAGAGAGAACATGGCATGCAAGGGTTGTGATCTCGGGGTGGTCAGAGCCGTGCGTTGTCCACCATTGTACCATGCTAAGCTTCCCTTCCTTCACCGCGTCCCGCTCAGCCCGTGCGGCACACGAGTGAAATCTACCATATATTGAATCCCCGAAAGCAAAAAAACCGTCCACCAGGGCCGAATAAGAACTTCCTTCACGTGCGGAGTGAAATATACCGTTCACCAGGGCCGAAACTTTCAGTTTCGCGCAAGGAATTTGCAGTGGCTGTCAGTGTAGGCCTTGAAATCCCTTGATATCTTCGGGTCCCTACCGAAAATCTCTCGGTCCTGGTTGGTCGGATTGAGGATTTGGCCCACCTCGTGCAAAGTACATGCAAAGCTCCCGTGCCACCTCTCCTTTACAAGCCTCAAAATTCCATCCTTCTCCGCTTCACCCAACAACTCCCCATCTCCCTTCAGTACCACATCCACATCTTCTGTCAATTGCCGCATCATGTCATACATCTGACCCATCATTGACCTGGCGCTCGAATCCGTCTCCTGCATCACCACAAATACCAGCTTCATCAGCTTCACAAACAACTCAGCAGCCTTCCACCACGTCGAGTCCGCGACAAACTTGGCGAATTCCTCCGCCTCCGCCTTCTGCTTCGTCCCCATAACCCACACCTTCCATGCTTCGCTCGACACCATCCGCGCCAGCTGCGGCCGAAGCTAACAAAGTCTAGACTTGCAATGTACTATGCTCCGAACCTTGCGTTTCGCGACCTCAACACTTGCAACACCTTGCCATCCGGCTGTCCTATGCTCCTCAGGTATTAGCGAATCGTGTCGCAGTGGTTGCGGAGAAACCCAATAAGCTCATCCGTTCTGTCAACCACCCCCTTGGCCCATCCCATCTTCCCAAGGTCCTCCATTAGTAGATTCAATGCATGCACCGCAGAAGGAATGTACTCAACGTGCGGCCACTCGCGCGTCAGTTCTCGGCAAGTGTCAGCGTAGCTACTGCCGCCGTCCATGCAGAGATCAACGATGTTCTCCGGCCCGACTTTCTCCACAATCAGCTGTAGCATGCTGGCAATGTAGCCGGATATCTTGACCTCCATACTGCAATCAATGCTTTCCATGAACAATCTACCCGAGTCGTGAACAAGCCACACGTTGGCTTGCAACCGGCCGCACTTGTCTGTCATCGTGTCAATCGCGAGGGTGATGCCACGCCGCTTCCAGCTTGCTGCGACGGGCTCCAGTTCCTACTCGATCAATACCCGGGACTGCTGCAATCCGGAGCCACCGATGTGGCAGCGATCGGGGGGGCGTAGCTACTTCCCGCACGTGCAATGGCTTGCATCGTGTTGCGCCAAAGCGGGTGATTGGCGTGCTGCTCGGGGATGCAGAGGCCGGCGTAGAGGAAGAAGATGGCCTCATCCGCTGCATTTTTTGCTTCTAACGCCGCGTCTTCGGAGTTGTCAGTCATGCGGCTCCTCTTGGCACCACCGTTGACCCTGCTGAAGGACGTGCTCGCCGCCCTTTCCGTACCTTCCCGAGCCGCCTGGTTCTGTCATTGACGTCATCCATAAGGGGGGAGCGGTTGGGAGTGGGAGAGGCAAGGCGTGAGCTGCAGGGGGGATTGAGACCAGCGAGCAGGGGTGAGGTTGCAAGGGGGATTGAGACCAGAGACAAGGGGTGAGGCTGTAGGGGGGATTGAGACCAGAGACAAGGCGTGAGCTGCAGGGGGGATTGAGACCAGAGACAAGGGGTGAGGCTGCAGGGGGGATTGAGACCAGAGACAAGGCGTGAGCTGCAGGGGGGATTGAGACCAGAGACAAGGTGTGAGCTGCAGGGGGGATTGAGACCAGAGACAAGGTGTGAGGCTGCAGGGGGGATTGAGACCAGAGACAAGAGGTGAGGCTGCAGGGGGGGTTGAGACCAGAGACTAGGGGCGAGGCTGTAGGGGGGTGGGAGCATGAGTCAAGGGGTGACTAGCTGCAGGGCAGGATGAAATATGAGGGTGAGGTTGCATGGGGGAGTGGGGTGGGGAAAGGAAGGGTGAGGCTGCTAAGGGGAATGCGATCCAAAAAGGAGGGTTCAGGTTGCATAGGTGAATGGGATCAGGAAAGGAGGGGTGAGGCTGCAGAGGAGAATGGGAGCGGGAGGCAAGACGTTAAGCTGCAACGGGGGATGGGAGCAGAAGACGAGGGGTGGGGCTGCAAGGGGATCAAAACAGGGAGGAGAATGGGAGCGGGAAATCATGTTTCCAGAATGTTCTTCGCATGTACCAGTTTCTGGAGGGGTTGGGAATCATGCGAGGGTGTTGCTGGGGTGTGGCTTGGGAGTGTCGATTGGGAATGTCGCGGACATTTGGGAACCGCGCGTCATTCCCGAATCTTGCTTCCAAGTTCGTGTTGGGTGCAAAATATGATTTTTGCACTGCAACCAGCCGCCTGCATGACGTTATGCATTTTGTGTGTGTTCTATGTGCATTCGTTTTTGCATTTCGTTTCATGTGCTGTTGCTGTGGGATCATGATCAGTCAGGACGGATCATGACGAGTCATGTTCGTTCATGTCGGCTCATGTACGTTCATGTCTTTTTCATGGACGAACATGTGCGTTCATGAATATTCTGTGTTTCATGTTGGTGCAACCCTACGGTTTGCGCTCGGCTTGTTGTCCGTGTGCGTGAATGTGTGTGTGTATGGAATGGTATGAGGGCATGGGATAATATATATTTCATGCTTATAATTGTGTGTGAATGTTGAGTCATGATGTCGAGTGTGTGTGTCGAGTCAATAGCGAGTTATCGCTAGACGCGTGTTACGCGGTCGTTTGTGTCTCGCGCGCGGTTTCTATTTTGTCGTGCGCGGTTTCTATTTTGTCCTGTGTCGAACGTTCGGCGTGTCGCAGGTGTGTGCAGCAGACCCATCAAGAACTCAAGGATGAGTTTGTGATGAAGAGCCCGAGCCTTGGTGTCAAGCCTCAAGTGATTTCGAAGCTCGCCAAAAGGGTACACCTCAAGATATTGAAGATAGTTACATTACTTTGTGTAGTGTAACATTTCACTTGGTGTAGGCCCTAGTGAAGGGTAGTTTCGAGACCCTTCGTGGTTGGGGACAGTGTGGCACTGTTCCACATCACTGTACCTCGGCTCTTGGGGTTTGTAGGAGCTGGGAGTCATTCCCAACTCGTAACTCTTCCTATCTTGTGTTCTAAGACTATAGTGGCTGCCATAGTACCGTTCGTTAAAACCGACGCTGTGTCGTCAATTCTTTATCAAATCGTGCAATCTAAATTGCTAATTGTAGACGACGTGAAGACGCTCCAGATCCAATTTGAATCAAGTCATTTGCAGCTGTGAGCAGAACTCTATCAACGTTTGAAGCCGCTGTGCAGAAATCCGTCTGTGCTCTCTATCTTTCATTTTAGGCACATTCAAGCCTATTGTGACTATAAAAAGTGGTATCAGAGCCCCTTGGAGCAGTTTCGACAATGTCTGGACCTGAGGAAAGGGGTGGCAGAGGTGCTGGTGGCAGTGGAGAAGCTCAAGCTCAAGGCCAACCCCGTGATTCAGCCATGGCGCCCATGCAACCAAGTCTTGGCCCACCTAGGGATGAGCCTAGGGTGTTTGGGCTTGACAAGTTCAACGGTGACAACTTTGCTGAATGGTCCTTCAAGATGGAGAACATCTTTGACCACTATGACCTGCTGGAGGTGATGGAAGGAACGGAGAAGCGCCCCGAGAACGACCCGGAGAAGAGCCCGTGGGTGCGGAAGAGCGCACAAGGCTATCTCTTACTTGGGCAAGCGTTGGGGAGCAGTCAGATCCGTCACATCAAGCCATTCCAGCGTGAACCAGAGAAAGGACCAAAGGCATGGGCTGCTCTCAAGGGTGTACATGCTCCTGCAACAGCGGCGGTAGCGGTGGTGTTGGAACGGCAAATGGCGGCACTACGAATTGAAGAAGACGAAGCGGTTGAAGAAGGGGTGCAGAAATTCTTCGACTTGTTGACGCGGCTTGAGGGAGCTGATTTGAACTACAGTGAGCTCCAAAAGAAAACCAAGTTGCTGGCCTTACTCCCAGAGTCATGGTCCTCGCTCATCATCAACCTTAATCGCGACTTGCCCCGCCTCTCGCTTGAAGACGTGAAGCGAGCTATCCTTCAAGAGGATTTCCGCCGCCGTGAGTTGGCGAGTGCGGATGGCGCTGGGGCAGCGAGCATCGGCCGTGGATATGGTCGAGGAAGAGGCAGAGGACGAGGGGGAGGAAGGTTTGGTGGCAGCAACTTCGGCGGAGGCCGCAGGAGTGGCGGTTACGGCAGCGACGACAAGAGCTACGGACGCGGTCGCGGCCGATTCGACGGCGAGTGTCACTATTGCCACAAGAGCGGACACATGTGGCGCGACTGCTACAAACTCCCTGATGGTTGGACCCCTGCTCAAGGCCAAGAGGGTAGAGGAGCAGGAGGAGGGAGAGGACGAGGCCGCGGAGGCCGTGGCGGTCGCGGTGGCGGAGCTGCAAACATGAAGAGCGGAGACAACGACAAGGACCCGAGCGACGATCGATACCCGGGTCTATTCTACTTCGTGTCGACGCAAGTACCGGCTGGTCCAGAGAAGGATGAAGGCTTTGAGGAGCCAGCAGCTGTGGGGAAGGTGACCCTACACCCCCTGGACTATTGGGTGATTGATAGTGGCGCTACCTATAGCATGACACCTCGCCCGGACTTGCTCACCGAACTCGAGCCGTCACCGGTGAAGCATGTCACATCGGCTTTGGGGCAGCGAGCAGAGGTGAAAGGCATGGGCAAGGCCATGTTCAAGGGTGCTGATGGGAAGATGGTGGGCCTCAAGAACGTGCTTTGGGTGCCCAGCCTTGCTGCAAACCTGATTTCCGTGCGGCGGTTGGCAAAGGCCGGCATGGACACGAACTCGAAGGGAGCCAAGACCTACACCGCAAGGCTTGGCGATCGAATTCTTTGGGACCTTCATGAGGACAGGGATGTCTACAACGAGATGTGGCAGATCCCAGTGGTCCCTATGCCTAAGGAGAGGCAAGTGGCAGCAAGCATCAGCACCAAGGATGGAGCGGTCGGTAGCGACGATGGCGCGAACGGTCGCGCTAAGGAGAATGAGCTCAAGAAGAGCAAACCTGGAGGGACCAGCAAGTTCAGTGAACCTAAGGAGAGTGGTGCAGCAACCAAGGAGCAGCAAAAGGGTGAGGAGAACCCAGAGGCAGCAGCGGAGGAGGACTACGGAGAGAGTATGTGGGGCGCTATTGCGAGCGCGGCATTCTCCAATCCAGCTTCGGCTACGGGGGAGTGTGATTGGCTCACCTTGCATCGGCGCATGGGGCATGTGGCCCTGCCCATCTTGCAGCAGCTAGTGAAGAATGAGATGGTTGCTGGCATACGTGTGAAGGGGGGAGCCTGATGAGGTGCTTGGCTGCCCGACGTGCATTCAAGCCAAGTTCACCCGGTTTCCGTTCCCTAGTTCGGAGGCAACGGCAAAGGCACCGCTTGATGAGGTGGTGATGGACGTGGTGGGCCCCCTGAAGCTTGGAGCTGCTGGAGCTGAGTATTTTCTCACCATTGTCGACGTCTACACCCGCATGACTTGGGTGTACGTGCTGGCCAAGAAGAGCGACGTGGCTGAAACGTTGAAGACGGATTGGTTCCCGATGGTGGAGCGGCAACA